CCGACGGCCATTGGCTACAGCGTGTGGCTTGTTGGGTGCCATCCCACCAGCGATTCCGTGGGTTTCTGCACAGACCCCTGTAAACGACCTTCCTCTTGGTGAGCTGGCCTTTTTGCACAAAGCCATGTTGGGAGGGTCCCCTTTTCACGGTAACAGGCAAAAAGAAGGGAAGCTCACCCGTTTTGAGGGAGGGGGTCCCGGTTCACACTGCCTTTCTGGACAAACTCAGTTCTCAATGGTTACGGAATACCCAAAGCGAGATTGAGGCAGCATCTACAGGTCACAAAATAAATCACTGACTGGCAAAACATGATACGCCGGTCAAGCCGCCGTCACTCAACATATGTGATTCGAGCAGTGGTTGTCCAGGACAACTAACTGCCTAGGCAATCCTCGATGTGTAAAACTATGGATCAATCATTGGCATTTTTGGGTACCATAGGTGCAAACGGTGCAGCTCTATGTGATTCACAGTGTCTGTGCGTGTGCTTGTGTAGCGCAGTCCCTTCCAAACGAAAGCTCGCTCAAGAGACAAACTGAAGAGGTGCTGCAAGGCTTCGTTCAAATCGATCAAAACCGGCATCTTCCAATGGTTAAGATTTGGTTTCCTTCGGGCTCCCAAAGCAAAGTTTCAAAGGGTAGCTTCCATCTCAGTTGTTCAGTGACCCTGGGAAAAAAAGGGAACCCTTTTTTGGGCTTGGACTATTTTAGTGGGGCAGCCACCAAAAAAAAGTTGGAAAAAGGGAGCCACTGAACAACTGAGCCATTGGTCCGCTTCCATTGGTCCAAGGTTGGGGGTCCTCGGCCCACAACCGCCACACTGAAAAAAGGCTCCCCGGGCCCCAAACCCTCACTTCCCGAATGGATTGTCGAAAAAAAATGGCCCCTACAATGGTCCTTCCAACAAAAATGTATAGAGTCCAGGAACTCGGGAAGTGTTCCTGTCAAAGGGAGCAATTCTCTGGTGTGTTCCAGGGCCATTTTGGACAGGCTAGCCATTTTGGACAGGCTTCCAGGAACTCACAGACCCACCGGTGAGCCTCGCTGCCAGCCCATGTCCCCGCACTTGGCGCCCGCGAATCTTCGTCCTCCGGGGCGAAAAATGGGAGCCACACGTAGATTGATGCTTGAAGGGCACGATTTCCTGGAGTCTCCATGACCCCAAACAAAAATGGCTCCATGACCAACCATTACTTAGGGTAATGACCCCATATGTAACTTGTCATGGAGACTCTAGGTAAAGCATGGTGAAAGTAGATGGCACAAGTCCCTCCCATTTTCAAATTTAGTCATTCGCTGTGCTGACCGACACCAAGGGAAATGCGCCATCTACTTTCACCCTGGTGTAGCTGCGTGGCAAACATGGGACACATCTCTATTTCGCGAGGTGTATGGTTGTTGAAGGGAGTGAAACACACAAGGTTTGCAAACAGGGGCAACCATCTCCATATCATATTTGCTGGTCGTTTAGGTTCTTGAATATGCATGCATGCATGCAACTTGTGCAAGCATGTAATAACCAAACCAGCTCGAAGGCGACCTCTTGTCTATCCGTACGATATTCATTCAAGAGGAAGGGGCGAGAATTGGAGCAGGACAAGTCAGGTCTTTTCAACAAATGACGAATGGCTCGCTAGACATATTGGTCCATTGGCCTAATTTAGCTCGCTCCAAATTTGCCCAATTTTAGTTCACAACTCTGCCCCGTGTGTTGTCTTCCTTTAACCCCCGGCGCCCATATTTTGACACTTGCGACCACTTTTGCTCGGCCTCGAAGAAATCATAGGTCTTCCAGTGCGTCATGGGCTCTTCAGCCTGGCGAAGACCCACAACGAGCCAACCCAAAGTCTCCCAAAATCTTGGACATTTTTCTAGTTGGCACGTAAACCACAAACAATACCAAACATTTGGGGGACCCAGCTTTGAGGGCTGGACCCATATACCTGCACCTGTCTGAAAGTGGACATGCCGAGTATGGCCTGGAAATCTCAAAAAGGAGAAACAACAGATGCGGTGAAGGGACGTGTGGGCAACAATTCCCTGTGTAGGTACCACCTTTGGAAACAAACATGACAAATCCGCCGGCGGGCGCCGGCTCGGCCGGCGCTCGTTTGTGCTTTTGCACTGGGTGGTAGAAAGCAAACACAAGCGAAGCACACATGCACCAAACATGCGATCTCGCTTGCTTGTGTTTGCGCTTGTGCTTGTGCTTGTGTTTGCGTTTCGTTGGGGATTACAGGGAAATGAAAAAACAACTAAACAGGGAACAGAACACCAAAAACAAAATAGCCCCCCAAACCTGCAAAAAAAACAGCAAACAAATAAAACACAACAAACTATCTCCAGAAAACAAGCAACATAGCCCCCAAAACCTGAACATGGACAGAAATGAATAAAGCAAACAATATAGCCCCCTTGCGTTTTGGTTTGCCTCTAAAAGCCAATACGCTCATATGGGCAACCCAAAAAAGAACAGACAACCAACAATGAAAACAACAAAATAGCCCCAAACCTAAGAATTAACAGAAAACTCCAGACCTAAACATGAACAGAACACCAATATAACCAAACAAATAGCCCCACAAGCCTAAAAATGTGCAGCGAACAAACAAACAAAATCGCCCCCAAGCAAAAAATGAACCAAAACCAAAAGAAACAACAACTTGCCCCCGACAAAAGCAACAACTTGATCCAAGAGCAGTGAAGAACTCTCTGGCTGAAGAAGCGCGCGGACTTCGCAGCGCCTCTTCCGGGCTGATCGCCTCCTGCAAAACAAATCCCACCGGGCTCGGCTCGAATCCCCCGGCCTAGAGGTGTAACTTTTCGCGGGGTGAAAATTCGGAAATCCGCACGAAACACTAAGCTGAAAAGCTAAGGAACCGGATGGCCGGGAACCCACACAGCCCATCAGCCCAACAGCCCAACAGCCCATCAGCCCAACAGCCCAACAGCCCAGTGCCCAGCAAAAGCAACCGCCCAACAAAACAACCAACAGCCCAACAGTCTGCAGCCCACTTTCGACCAGAAATGGAGGCCACAACTAGTTATCCTTTGCCCTTGGCTCAACCCCCAAAAGTGGAGGCAACTGAAAACATATCCATTATTCCAGGAGAAACATCTCCAAAAGTGGAAGTGAAACCGTAGAAGCCAGCAGTAAATCGATACTGCCATTGACCGGTCCAATCCCAAAAAGCGCGTGCTCAGATCAGTGGCCAACTGATCCAAATGTGATGTTGACCCCAGGATTAACAAACCCGTCCCATTATTAGGGGGGTGTTCCCTGCAAAAGTGATGAATCCCCACTAAAAGGGACACCCCCCTATTAATCAACCAGGCGCTGATTAATCCGGCCGGTATTAACATTAAAAACCATCAAAATCACCCATGGGTGGTTGACGTGAATACCCCACCTGATGCCTTGAAGAATGGCGGCGTGAACAGGCACGGGTCCCGTCCCTTAACTTCCTGACAGATCCTTGCCGTCTCGAGCCACGAAGAGAAATGGGCATAGAAAGCTTTGTTGCATCTAGAAAACGGCTTGGATGCGCTGTTTGTGGATTTCACCTGCTGTTCCCCGTGTTGTTTTTTTTAGTACTTGTGTAATACTCCTTTAATATCCTAAGGGGTGGATCCACAAAAGAGACATCCAAACCGGCTTCTAGACTGCAAGCTCCATGTCTCAACCGCCAGCCATGAAACATGGCAAGTCTACTGGTTGATTCACGCAACGTGTATTCGAAGTTGACCTCAGAGGGTGCAACTGAGCACTCCTTATGCAATGCCTGCTGAGCAGCACGCATTCAGCTGAGCTGCTTTGCAACAAGTCGTGTGAACCCTGCAACTGCGATGTATCGTATATATGTATCCCCTTTAAGGAGCCCAGCTCAAGAAGCTGATAGCGCCAAATCCCTCCCATCAAAACAAACAACAACTCAGTTCAATTTGTTCTTCGCCTTCACCAAACCATGGCCAAACAAACTGAACACCGGCCAACAGGCAAACCGGTCCTGCTCCAAGTGTGCCATGGCGAGATCGAACGGAAGCTGGGTCTGGAGGCTTGACACTTGAGTCACTTGAGCCGCGCGCGCGAATGGACAAGCTGATCTGGGGCTTGTAGCAGGGGAGGGCCCCCCCCCTCACTTCGGTTTGATCACCAGGGCACACCCTTTGCAGGTGGTTCAAAAAGAGCCAGATTTGACACACCCCTTGACCAAAAATGGACCAAAAAGCGAAAACCAAAAGGTCATTTCAGGTCGGCTTTGAACCACTGAGTACAGGCTATACCGCTGGAAGCGAGCCTCGTGAGTCATGTCTTTGACCTAAATGTAGCGACCGGACGCCTGACTTGACGGCTCAGAAGGAACGTCTGGAAGTAGACCGTACACAACGCCCAAGTCACAAAAATGGAGCACTACACTGAACAGCTCAGAGCTTGCGTGCTCAATCCGGGAAGGAACTCAATAATCTAAGCTGAGAACAAGCCGAGACACACATGTCTGGAGTTCTGAACTGGTTTCAGATAAACATTCCGAGAAGTTTGCTCCGCTGTTCCAGACCAGCCCGAGGGATCTTGAAATGAAAGGTTGGACTACAAATGAGTCAACATGCGAATCCCGAACGAGTTGGAAGTTTGGTCCCCTCGGCACGTGTCGAAAACGGGGACCCGCCCGCAAGCACCACCTCGAAAATGGTTACCTATGTACTCCAAGTGGGGGGGATGTGTCCAAATAGCGGCCCCAATGGTGGTTTTCCATTAAAGGGCTGTTGTTGCCCCAAATTTAACGTCGACCCCGGATTAAGAAACCCCGGTTTATTAATATGGGGTTGTTCCCCTCCAAAAGTGATAAATCCCACTAAAACCGGGGACACCCCCATATTAATAAACAGTGGTTTATTAATCCGGGGTCAACAGTAGAGATACAATCCATTTTTTGGGGGTAGTTTGAGGCTCCAGGTACCCTCCAAACAGACCCCCGCTGGACCGCCCGTGCCAGGCCAGCCTCGAGCAATACGAAGCGCTGGAAAGGCTTGACCAGCCTCGCAAAGGCTTCGCTCGCATCGATGCAGGCATGACGATATGCCCGCTTACTTCAGTAAGATGCCCAGTGGCCAGGGGAGAAAAAAAACGAATCGGCACCCTTTTTTGTTTGGTTGAGCTTAAAGGAGTCGGAACCCTTACCCAAAAAAAAAGACAAAGGGCACCACTGGGCAACAGAGCTCATCTACCAAAACCGCATCCATCCCCAAAACCCTTGTAAAATTGAGTTGACTTTCTTGGGCCAACGGGTTTAACTTGATATTTCGCAGTTGCACAGTGACCCAAAAGCAAGGGGGGCCCTTTTTTGGTTGGGTTGATCTTTTTTGGAAAGAGAACAGGGATTTAATTGGGGGGTTGCAAAACAACTCCCAAATTCCGAATCCCCTTGGGAAAATTGACGGTAGCGTCCCTCCGAGTGATTTGCTTTGACGGCTTGCAGCTTAGGGGTGGTTTCCAAGTTACCCTCCACCCAGTTTACCAGCGGTTCCAAAGCACACATCTTAGTTGGTGTTGATCCCTCTGCAAAAAGTTGTTCACTTTCTGTGGGTTTAACGGAATACACCTTGACTTCCCAAAAAGCTAAAGTCTAAAGATCCGAACATGGGCTCATTTCCAGAACAGAACAAGACATTTGACACAACTGGGCTGCCCTCAGATCCCCCGCTAAAAAGGCCAAAACAACTACCACACAAACTACCACACAAAAACTACCACAAAACAACCACCCCCGCTGGGTGGATTAAATTCGGAAGCTAAACACTAAACACTAAAAGGCAAACAAAAAGGGCTAAGGAACCGGATGGCTGGGAGCCACGGAGCCACCAACAGTGGATCCCGAAGGAAAACTGCCGCAGGCCGCCTCCTTAGCCCCGGCTCATTGTGAAAGCTGCGCTGCCCCACGACCTGCGCTGCTCAAACCGAAGCCCGAAAATACGCGCGGCCCTGGTCTTGGCACACTTCACGGGGCCCGGAGTCCGGGAAATACGCATTTTGTTTGTTTCAAATGGCAGGTTTAGATTCTGCTTCATATGCAGTCTACCCCATTGTCAAAAATATCAATATCTCTGTATATTGTATTTTGTATATATATATATATATGTAACAATTTTGGAGGAGGTTTAAGGTAGGTGTGCTTGGTGGAACATGGTGAAATGACCCCCTGGCCCAAAACGTGAGCTCTGTTGTTGGCTTATGGACCCCCCACCACCCCCTCCAGCCCAACAAAGATCAATATTACAGATTCATCCAAACAGCCCAGAGAAAACAGGCTACGAATTCTGCGGCCGTGCGAGCCCCCAAAGCCTCTCAAGTGCTGGCCGCAAAGGTACATCTGGTTTACTATAATTCCAAAACCTGAAGTGGTGTGGGTCACAAATCTGGGCTGCCCTCAGATCCCCCGCTAAAAGTTTCACTTTCAGTGGGTTAAATGGAAACTAAAAAAATGGCTGGGAGCCACCAAGAAATCGGTAATGGAGCCCGATTGGTAAATGGAAACAAGGACCTAAAACTTGCGGTGCCCTGGTCAAATTCCTCTTCCGGGCAGGGGATCGATCCGCAAGGATCTACATCATGGGTCGTTTTCTCCCCCAAGTCTGGCCAAGTGGGCAAACGACATGTGTTCCCCGAGTTGCATGCGTCTCCAAGCGGCAAAGGGTGTCTTTGGCAGAGGCAAGGTCAGCCAAAAGCTGGCCAGGCCGTGCAAGCCAAAGAGGGTGTAGGAACTATGCCATGCCTTGTGTGTCAAAAAAAAGGTTGCCCTCCCCAAAATGGCTTCGATTTTCCCTTGGGTTTTCCTTTAAGACCACAAAACAGGGTTACCCACGAAAAAGGACAGCCCCAAATGCATGAATCTTCTTTTGGAATGTCAGCACTGTTGAAGCCTAGAGAAGAACACCATAAGTCAAAGGGATGGTAATCCAGCCGCCGAGCAGGACTTATACAGGCTTGCGTTGACCCCATCTCCAATCAACCTGTAACTAGGTTTACTATAGGTTGGTTTCATCAACCCTGCCGATTTATTAGGGTTTTTCCCCCAAAAGTGCTCCCATGTGCTGCCCATTCCCTGTCAAGCGAGGCACGTGTTGTGTTTATCTTCTGTACCAACACGACTCCGATGTATTCCATACAGGTAGTCAAAATGGAGGGACCCAACAACATGTGTGATCTTCCCGTTGATTTCCTCGAAACCAACCCACAGGACGGGTACCCGCAAACAAGGTTTCCTCAATCTCCCTTTGTGGAACCTCCGAAACGTGGCAATCGCTTCGACAGACACCACCCGTCAATTGATGAACTTTAGATGGACATCCAGCTTGACCCCTCTCAAAAGCACACACACACATATTCATGATTGAACGTTCCCCTTGATTCTTGACTTACCAGGTCCTCCAGTAGAGAGGTTAGCATAAGGGTATCCTTTTTCTGTGGTCTATTTTAGTAGGGGAACCCTCCCCTAAAAAGGGGTAACAGCGCTTCAGCCCCGTTCAAAGGCCCGTTAATAACCATTACAACCTGCTGAGTTGGTTAAGCATCCAGACACTCCCCTTCAGGGCTGTGGGAAATGACCACTTCTGTGATACAACAAAAAGGGCTTCCCAAAGACTAACCCTCCACATAAAGAAACAGATTCCAACTTGTATCACAGAAGTGGTTGGAGAAACCCCGAGTGATCCACCACAACCCTGCTCCCCTTGATGGATTTATTTCCGAGCCGAGCCAAGGCGAACAGACTGGACTCCTTGGCCCCGCCTTGAGGCCGCCGTGCTGGTCGCAGCGCATTTGCCCCTTCTCCCCGGTGAAGCTCAGGCCCAAGCGCGGGAGCTCCACCTGCGGAGCAATCTCGGGTGTCTCACCCCCAGCTTCTGGTACGGAAATGATCCGTTTGCTTGGGTGTTCCTCTCACTACTCAAAAAGGGGCGATCAGGTACCTAGTAAGTGGTAAGTAACCATAGTTATAACCCATTTAGGAGACACTTGTGACCACGGTAAGTGGGGTATAGCCACGGTTGCTAACGACATACTAACCACACTGCATCTCCAACTACTTGGATGTTCGATCCGCCAGATTATGTGGTCAGCCAGTTGTTGAAAACCAGGTGGATCCCACTGAACGGGGGACTTCGTAGGACCCGACAAAGGGTCGGTATGCGAAAAACGAAAGCCATGGACGTCCAAATCCAAATCTCATCCAAATCCCTTGGATGTTGGTAAAAACATCCAAAACTCCTGCTTCTGGATGTGTTTGCCATGGATGTTGGTCAAAACTCCTGCTTCTGGCAAACACCATTCGTCCTGAGGAAAAAAACGTATCTTGCGCAAACCTTTTGCGGCTCCATCGCCGCATCTTGTTTTTGTTAACGCTGAGTTTCAAGGGGAACCCTTCCCCTTCAAAAAGTTGCAAACAAAAAAACGCTACTGGGGAACTGGGTTCCACTTGCCGTGACTGCTCAAATTTGTCCTTTCAATGTGCGGAACCTTGAAACCTTTAAGTCGGCTCAAAGCATAACGCGAGCTTCTGCATAAAGCGAGCTTGAACGGCGCCCGATTGAAATTCAGTTTAAAGCGTGCCCCCCCGCTTTCTCTCAAATGTTTTTGTTTTTTTCTACAGCCTGTTTGGTGGCGTTAAAAGGACACCAAAAGGGAACCACCATTTTTCTAAGGGTACCTTCCCCATTCCTTCCAGGGATCCTTCTTTCTAGAAAAACCTCCAAAAACCCAGGGAAAACGGCCGGGTTTGGAAAGAACAATGGCTGAAAAGAATAGGAAATCAACCCCTAGAATTTCGGGGGGTCCAACCTTAAAAAACACAGTGTCGTTGGCCTACTGGTGTCTGCAGGTGCTTTCGTAAGACTTGAGACTCGCGCCGCTGGAGTTGTCTGTCCGCTTTATTTTGCCACTGAACATACACTCGCAGTTCATCACTAGGTCTCAGTAGAGAGGTTAGAATAAGGGTACCAACTTTTTTCTGTAGTCTATTTTAGTAGGGGAACCCTCCCCCAAAACAGAAGGGGCACTGCCGGGGACCTAGATCAAGTCCACATTCCGAACGCTTGAATATGGCTGGGGGGCAAGGACATAAGCCTGTTGAAACACAAACAAACACATTCAACACATAATGCAGATTTCACATCATCAAATATGTGTACACAACCGGAGAGACAAACACATAAACACCATAACAGTTGCCACTTATCTTAGGAAACCAGCTTCTAGTTGTTCAATAGGTGATTCCCTTGGTTCCTACTGAGAACGGAATCACAGGGACAAGGTAACGCACACATTTTTCCTGGAAGGGTTGGCAAGACAAATTAGCGAGAGGATACTGGGGAAGCTGGGATGTGCGAGGATTCCCTGTAAAGGAAACTATGTCTAAATGTTACCCAACGAAGATCTGTCCACATCCCTGCTTCCCCGGTATCCCTGCTAGTTTTGTTGTCTGAAAGGGTGGCTTTGGGGGCAACCTTCAAGGGAAACCGAAAGGAACCGTCTCATTTTTTTTCTGTGGGGGGGGGGGTGCCCCAAAAAAACACACACATTCCCAAGTGAACCCCCCCCCAGAAAAAAAGGCTCTTCCGCCCCTCGACATCCGACCTCCGAACTCAGCGCGTTTCGAAAGCCGAAAGCGAGCAATTCAACCGGGCGCTCCGGCGCGGCTCATTGCTCCCGCCGAATTCGCCACCTTCCAACCGAGGCTCAGGTTTGTACGTACCTTCCATTTGCTTAAGACCCCTGGAAAAAACGAGAAAATATATGTCCAGTAGTGATAAATTCATTTTAAAAGAAGGACAAATAGCAAATATTATGTTCAGCAAATGGAAGGTACTGTAGGGGTGGCAAGCACCTGCAAGGCAATGATCCTCATCCGTGCTATATGGGGTGGCAAGCATGGTAAGTGGTTAGCCACCTGGGCTGGAACCCACCAATGACAGGTTTAACTCCACTCGACCCTTGGTTTGGGTGTTCCTCTAACTACATTGGTTAGTAAGTGGCCCCACTTGACATGTGAGGGTAACAGACCCCAAGGTGTGTGTGTGTGTGTGTCTCCAAACAACCTGGTATAATAGTTCTTTTTAACCAGCGACAAACCTGGAGACCAAAAATGAGCACGCAGCGAAAAGGACGAACCAATGACCAATGGGCTTAGAGTTCTTGGTTTGGGAGGTTGATACTAAAGAACAAGCCTTCCAGGACTTGACAAGGACCCGACTAATACAGGACGGACATATTAAGCACGCATAAATTTGCCAGAATCTCACTTCCTGAGTGGATGGCCCGAAAAAAATCACGAAACTTTTGCTTACCGCTAAACTGGTCCAGACCCAAAAAGTGACTGAAGTCAACTCAGCAAGTGAGGAATGAAGCTAGATCTGGCTTCCAGACGCGCAGCTCGCAGGAACCAAGCCCCCGTCAGGCGCGCATCACGCTCGCATTTTTGGTTCCTAGCCCTACTAATCGTTTTTTACTTGGACTCCGTGCACATGTTCCTTGCAACACATTCAAATCCTTTACGTGTCTCTAGAAAACGGTTTTCGATCCACACACGTTCTGTTTCCTGTTGGTTCTTATTAGTACTCGAAAATATCCCTGCAGGGATGGGTCCACGAAAGCCACTTCCAATGAAGAGATAAACGGAACCCAGACAAAGACGAAGTGGGGCTGGGGTCACAGATGACCACACTGGAAGACTCCAGCTGAAATCAAGAGGGCGGGCATCACTAGACGAAAGTTCATGACAAATAAGCAGTAGACCACACTCAGCATGCGTTGAAATTCGGGACCCTTTGGTGGATGGAAAATATCCAGGGTTGATTCATCTTCGAGGGCTTAACTCTTAACTCTCAAAATGCGTTATCCTCCCCAAAACCCCCAGAAACCACACAGGCCCATAGATGACTTTCGGGCAAAATGTCGATGGGTTTCCCTGGTAAATGGAAGAACGCAAACCAATCTAAACCAGTGGATTCCCATCTATTTCTATCCAAACTAGACGATCGATAAGAGGACACCTATGCAAAGGTCATGGAAGTGGACAGGGGGGTTGCGCTAAAAGTGAACTAGTCTTCCAAAACCCTCCTGGCATCCGCTTCCATGACTGTACATCATGCCCTTTTACTTGGAGTTGAAGGTTGGCCGTGAACCCTCTAGTAGAAAGTGTGATTACTTTTGTAAGATCCCCACCCCCCAAAAACAAACCAAACCACCCCTAAAACTCGCAACTGCCTTTCTCCCCCATGTTCAAATGATGCCCTTTGACCTACGGCAACTCCTTAAAAACGCCGTTCTTGCAGGACCCCTTTGCCTGGCCGGCCCATGGATTCTCGCCCTCAGGCAAGCGAGCCACCAGCCGCGCGCGCCTGCGCCCAGGCCAAGATGTGGGACAAGTCCTCGAGCTGCAGCAGCCACTCCGCCACCTGCGATTTTCGAAGTCACGGAGCCATCGTCTGAAGACTTGGGACCCCTCTGCCTGGAGTCTCGACTCTTGTAAAATGGTTGGTCACCCACAATAATGGGTCATGGACCCATTCTTAAAGGGTCATGGAGAGTCTAGGTGTAGAGAGCTTAGAAGAAGGGTGCCCAGTTTTCTGTAGTCTATTTTAGTAGGGGAACCCTCCCCAAAAAAGGGTGAGAAGGGGCACTACTGGGAGACCTAGTGGAGGATTAGCGAGAGGCAAACCCCAATTGTGAGGGTCCGATTCCGAAAAAAAAAAAAAAAGCCTTAAAAACATCCCCACGGATCCCTGAAAGGGCAAAGAGGTCTCAATGACAAGTCACATTCAAAACGTTGGATGCCTCGGGTAGGGACTCAATCGTTGCAATCTTTTCGCGAGGCCTGCAAGTCCCAAAAATACAAGTACCTGAAGTCCGAAAGCCTGCCGGAAAAAAGGTCATGTCATGTCTGCCTAGAGTCTCCTTCTGACCCTTTTAAAAATGGTTGGTCATCACACTAAATAATGGTTGGTCATGGACCCAATTTTTAAAGGGTCATGGAGACTCCAAATGGCCTGGCCTTTTTTGGGACGGACACCGGGGGCAACCAGCCATATTTCGCAGTGGCGAATATTATTTGGAGCGGAAGTGCTAGCCGCTAGCCATTGCATCATTCCATACTGATGGACGAAATCCTGCACCACCAAAAAAAAGACTGCAATCAAGATTCAATTGTAAGCACCAACTCAACCAACTCCTGTGGTTTCAGTGGTGCAGGATTTCGTCCATCCACAGTATTCAGTGTGGCGGCCAGTCCAATGAAAGGCGACTTTGTTGAGAAGCCCCAAGAAAACGGTGGCTTCGGAAGCCCTCTTTCTTTTTGGGCATCCCTTTCGAAGCGGAAAACAAGTGTAATCTGTGCAAAGGACCCGGGAATTAACGACAAACGAAGGAATTTTGAAGATCCAGTCGATATGAGTCGGGCTGAGTAACTGCTCCGTTTCAGAAGTCGTGATCTGCAACACCCAAAACTACTTCATCTCTGCTTCCACAACCATTCTCAACAGGGCTGTGGGAAATGACCACTTCGGTGAGACAACAGCAAGGGCTTCCTAAAGATATTTCCCCCATATACAGGGGGATTCCCAAAGGTCACAGCAGTGGTTGGACAAGCTCCGAGTGATCAACCACAATCCATGCCGAAGAAGCAAACCCACAAACATGATGCCTCCGGGAAATGCAAGTTGTTACAATGCCATCAACTGTATGCAACCCATACCTGGAGTCTCCATGATCCTTTAAAAGTTTGTCCCTGACCCCATTATTTAGGGTAATGACCAACCAATTTTAGAGGGTCAGAAGGAGACTGCAGGTATAAAGGGGGACACAGGTTGCACAAAATATTTCCCCCAAGGCACCCCGACCCTTCCCAAGACACCGAGCCCGCTGCCCGAAACGGACCGGGCTCCGAACCGCCCAGGTCTCCGACTTGGCATTCGCACGCAGAAGGTCCACCAGCGTCAGCGTGTCCTAGCGAAGCGAGGCATTCGCCCCGAACAACCCAAGGTGAGTCAGAGGGTGGTTGGGTCAAGGCTGAATTTCGTCAGCTCGATGGGTGTGGCTGAAATGTAAAAGAGCCAGTACGCTATCTAAGGTGCCCTTCTGGAAGGTCTTTTTGAGCCACAGCCGTATGACGTTAAAAAGGTTGCTACCGTTTTTGTTGCTACGGGAACCCTTTCGAAGAAACAAGTCATGGATGGGACTCCCACATCGCTGCTGATGATCGCGAAGTCCGTTTCCCAAATAACCATGGTTTCCACCATAGCTTCCAAAACCTGAGGTCGAGCTTTCCTTTCTTCGCGCGTTCCGGCCGACATGGTGTTTTCCCGACATGATGTCGCGTTCCGGCCGACATGCTGGTGGGCAGCAAGGAAGAAGTAAGCCGGGGTTTTTGGAATGAAGCCAGGGGTCCCCTTAAAGGAAACCCACCAGTTGGATGCTTTAGTTAGGGCTCATTCCGGCTCATTCCCTGCTGAGAAGCGAGAAATGAAAGCAGCCCTTTTTCTAGGTGCTCCAGTAGAGCGAGGGTAGAATAAGGGTACCCCTTTTTTTTCTGTAGTCTAATTTAGTAGGGGAACCCCCTTTTCAAGAAAGGGGTTAAGAAGGGCACTACTGGGGGACCTAGCCCTAAGTATTGGATGGGGAGTGTACCCGGCTGAACCCTTCCCCATGTTCCAGTTGTGGCTCGGGCAAATTGTATGGGGGGTTTGATGAATCTTCCGTTCGGCCCCCAAATGACCATGGGTAACTCTTCCCCATTTAGTAGGAAGTATCATCTTGTTTGTGGTTTTCCAATGGTCATCCCATGTTCATCGGACCTTTTGATAAATCCCCATTTGCTAAAAACCATTTACACACTTTAGTGGTTTCCCCCAATGGTCATTCTATGCCAAGTCCCTTTTGATCCACCCCCCCGTATGGTGCCCAGCCGTCGCAAGTCCGAGGCGGGTCTTTCAAGCATTGCAACTGCAGAGGCGTTGGATCGGAGGAACAGAGCATGGGCAAACCTGGGGGGTGGATCAACAGGTCCGATGAACATGGGATGACCATCGGGGAAACCACCCAAAAGGAATTTTGATTGTCACTACTAAATGGGACACGTTGCCCGTGGTAATTTTTGGGGCCAGGGATACTGATCGACCTATCGGACTTTGCTACTGGCTTAAAAGAACAACGGCCCAGCGCAGATTACCCAAAGAGGGTGTGTTGTAAAGAGAAACCCCAAAGGGTTTCCCAACTGTGAAACAAGCCCATATTGAACCGAACACTGCGAATCGAATTTGGCAGATTTCCCGCGGCTGGTCGGCAAGCACGCATCCCGCAACAGAAGGCTAACAATTAGATCACAGCGACAGTGAGCTGGTTCAGCGAGCAACCTCGATTCTCGGGTCCTACTTGCATATGCTGGCCAACCTCCATGGTGAAATCTGTATTTCTCGTGCCTTTGCGGAGTCCATTTGAAGAAGGGCCTTCGAATGGGCAACTTGGAATAGCACTGGACGCAGGCCCTTGGAAGCGTGAAAGTCACAAACATCAGCTTGATACATCGGAAAGCTCACAAACTCATGCAACTATGTTGGCTGCTGCAACGACCCCTCTGCAAAAAGCGACTGACTTCTTGTGGCTCCAATCTTGTTTCCCGTGTCTGTTTAACCACGCGTCCAATCCGCAGACAGAGTGCAATTTGGGGCGAACACAGCACATGCAAATAAGTACATACCAATAAATTGTGCCATCCCAACAACAACTCACCAGGCCGTCAAATAATCAATCAAGCAATCAAACATGCTATCAATCAGGAACATGAACAAACCAGCCAACCAACCAACAAAGCAACCAACCGACCGACCGACCGACCCACCCACCGACCGACCGACCGACCCACCCACCCACCCACCAACCAACCAACCAACCCACAAACCATCTGACAAACAAACAAACGGACAGACAACAAACAAATAAACAAAAAACGAAACACAGAACAAACAAACAACCAGGCCAGAGAGGCAAACATTCACAAGCAAACAAACTAACAAACAAAAAAAAACAAAACAACAAAAACTTAGCTAGCCAGCCAGCAAGCAAACAATCGCACAACTGGATCTAACTCGGGAAACACCAAACATTATACTTTCAAATTATACTTCATAACTATTTGGTATGCCCCAAAAGACAACATAGTTTTGACGGAGACTCCTAGCTAGCAAGCAGGCGAAAACAAAAAGAAATATGTTTAAAACAAAAGAAAAGAAACAAGCATAATAATAATAATAATAATAATAATAATAATAAAAAAAAAAAAAAAAAACGAAAAAACAAGCAGAAGAAGAAAAAACACACAACCAATATAAAGCTCGTAATTAAACTTGCACACACACATATTACGTACACGGGCGAGAACACGACACGTACATGCGAACACAAAGACAGGCCTACACACAACACACACACACACACAACACACTTACACACACACACACACAAATACAAGGGCAAGTGACAACTGCGCTGGGTCCCCGCGCGCCCTTCGGCGCAAGGGAGGGTGCCTGAATCGCAGAAAGATGTTGCTGACATGGGCGTCCGTGCGAAACAACGACTTTACAACCCTTGGCAACAAACACTTTGTTCTTCGCAGCTCACTAAAATTGAACAGAACCAACAAACCTAAAAACCAACAACTTGCCAACGACAGTGAAGATAAGTCTTCCAAACAAAGCAGCTGGACATGTCTGAGGTACAAGCGAAGCATGTCCCGGACAAAACCATACCAGCTCAGGTAATTAGCACTGCATTGCTCAACTCCTTAATGCTACCTTAAAGGTACCTGGGAAGACTATGCTTTGCAAGTGGCCAATCCAAGTCTCTCTCTTGACATAACCCTCAAACCCCCAAACCACAGTCCAGCGGAACATGGGGCAAAGTATGATAGGCGCGCAGGTCGAAGATTGGGGCTGTGCTTCGAGGCTGGCGAGCGAAAACCCATGAGCTGGGCTGCCCCGTTTTCTGATCCCCGGCTAAAAGTGAATAAGTGGTGGTTTAAATGGAAGCTGCCACCAAACCCTAAAAAGCTAAGGGACCGGGTGGCTGGCAGTCACCAAGAAAGAACACCCCACGACGCACAACAAACTTGCTATAACTGGCTCATGTCGTGAAGCTATGGCAACATGGAATCAAATAGCCACCGGTCGGCCATAACATGTTTCTGCTGCTTGTCCGTCTCTGTCACAAAGCGATGGAACAGTCTACATAGGCACATCTCACATCCTCACAAAGCCTCGAATTCCAAGATATAGAAACGTGAAAATGAGCAACTCTGCTAAAGGCGCCACCATCAAAAGCCGGCAACACATGGCTGTGGCTCAAAAAACCGGTACCAAAATGGAACCCTGGTAAGTGGAAACATGGACCAATACCTGCGTAACCCCGCCTGTTTAATTTTGAGCGTTCAGGTCCATAAAGGCCTTCAATTTGGGCCGCTTCCATGGGTGACGGACTCCGGTTGAAAAATTACGTTCCTTGAACATTGCCCAAACACTCTGCCAGTTCCCCAGTGAAGCAGCGAAACCCCTATGGCGGTTGACTGTTTTTGTTTTCTTTTTTGGCAGGCAACCCACCCAACAAGCAGGCAAGCGAGGCAGCCAGCCAGCAGCAAACCAGCCAGCCAGCTAGCAGAGAAACAATCAACCACACAAACGAAGACACATTATCAGGGCTCCTTAAAAGATACATTTTGCCTGATTGAAAACACAAATAAAGGGACACCACCATTTACAAGGCAATGTTCAGGTGTATAATGTAAGGACCCCTGATTATCTCGCTCTTACACACTTTGTCACACAGGGTCTGGCAGCAAGACTGCTCAGTTTTACATGTTACCTTGGTTGCTTTAACAGCGGCTGTAACAATCACAATCCTTGTCATGCTGCGAAGAGAGCAGGCACCCAGATCTCAGCGTGCGTGGAATGGAGCCTTAACCCATGGGCTGAAGTTTGGCTCAGAACGTTCTCCGAACACACTGCTTGAAGGCTCATTTGGCAAACCTTGGCCGCCCACTTGCTCAGTGGCAATCGTGAACACTCTTTTCGCATTGATTTGGTTTGCATTGGCATGGCTTGGCTTGGTTGCTCGTGTGTATGTGCAGTTTGTTTGTTTCTTTATCTGATGATTTATTTGCTTGTTTGTGCTTGTTGGTTTGTTAGTTTGTTGGTCTGTTGGTTGATTGGTTGGTTGCTCGCTTGCGTGCGCGCTTGTTTGCTTGTTTGTTTGACTGGTTGCTTGTTGCTTTTTTGCTTGCTTGCTTGTTTGTTTGCTCGTTGGTTCGTTGGCTTGCTTGTTTGTTTGGGTGTTTGTTTGTCTGCTTAGTTGTTTGCTTATTGGTTGGATGGTTGGTTGGATGGTTGCTTGGTTGGTTGGCTGGCTTCTGGTTGCTTGTTTGTCTGTTGGTTTGCTTGGCGTGTTTGTACATTTGTTTGATTTACTAGTGCTTGTGTTCCCTTCTGCGTGCATGCAAGCAACTCTCATCTCAAGCTGGGCGCCCGCTCATGCAGCAGCTGGTCCAGCTGCTTCTCCTCGTCTTTCCTGAGCTCCCGCTGGCACTCAGAACCCACACCCGGAAGTCAAAGCATAAGCTGTGCGGACTTTTTCTCAGTTGCAAGGACCTGGAAACCAAAGGTGATCACCTTTTGGGGCCACTTAAAATGGTTGCCAAAACGGGAAAACCAAAAGGTCAAAAGGTCGATTCGCTTTGGGCAACACAGTTTTTACAGTAGTCTTGATTTGTCGATAGAGCAAGTAGTCTTGATTTGTTTAGAGCAGCTACAAACGCCCCCTTTACAGTAGTCTTGATTTTTTTAGAGCAGTTACAAACGCATCAGCAAACCTTGGCCGTTCAGGGATCATGGGTTCCCCAACAATCTGGGCAGGTTGCATTTGGCGAAGTTAGGCATAATACTAATAATATAAGATGGTCTTTGTTGAGGGGAGCCTTCTTGGGCTGCTCCGAAAGAAAAACTAGAGGGAACAAACCCTGTGCACGCCTACTTTTTGGAGAAGACATGTTGATTTTAGCAAGTTTGGTTTTGGACGGGTTCCAGGGATTTGCTACTCTCATAATTTGTCACCTGACACTAGTTGCAACATTGACCCTATCTTCCGTCACTTCAACCATTGCGGCCAACTCTGCCGCTGCTACTGCAACCTCTACAAGTGCAACGAGCGGACATCAGCGACACTGACAGCTACGGAAACCACAGTGACTGCAACCCAGACTTCGCTTGCCACTTGCTGCAGACTTTTCAGATGCAAAAACGGGGCCCTTTCTTGTGACGACCCAAACTATGGTTGCGTCCTCTTGAGGGTGCCTCCTTGGCGGATCCTCATATCATTTGGAAACAAACCATCAATTTCTGACGCCACAACACGGAGAAATCAACTGGAATTCATGCGGAGCAAAGCGATGATGGATAAATCCTATGGGAAAGATGAATTTGACAAGTTACCTGTCACATTCCTCGCCACAGTATAAAAGGAACCCACCCAAGCCCAGCCGATGTCACATTTTGGTTGGGAAGGCCTTCCAATCAGTCTCACTCCAACATGGTCCACAAGATGACAAGAAATCCCCATCTGTAGGCTTCAAAGTCACTTTAACCATAGAGAGAAGGCGTCAGACCCCATCAGACACACTCAAAATAACAAGACGACGTCTCCGTGGTAGCAGGGGTCGAACAAGAAGATTTCTCCAATTACAGTGGGGCTGCCTGTCGTTGTTCATTCAACGCATCAAACCCAATACTACATTGGAACATGGGCATGTGACAGTAGGTACGTTTAGACACAGTCGCGCTGCGGCGGTCTGGCAGAAGCAATGCGCATGTTCAAAGTCGAATACTGCAGGAGAATGGCGATGTGACGGGTCCCCCTCCCCCTCGCCCCCTCTCATGGCAACCCCAATCCGTTCTCTTTCCTCGGTTGCTTTCTGCTCCCCTGCTAAAAGTTTAACTTTTAATGGTTTAATGGAAAACCCATTAGTTGGCAAAAAGTTAAAGTCCTAACATGCAAGCAAAATGCAACAAAGTTTCCGTTGGATTAGGGATGGTCCAGGCCACCCCTGGCCAGTGGGGCTGTGGTGGTTTAGGGGGCGCCCGACCGGCTGGGGCTCGGGCTCGGGAGGGGGGGGATACGCGCCATGGACATGTCTTGAGTTTTTTTTTTTCTCGGTCGCAGCCTGGAACCCTTAAACCAAAAACCTTGAAACACACCAGACATATATGAAGCTTGCAAAAACAAAAAATCGACCAACCGACCAACCCTAAAAAAAACACAACAGTCACACACGCAGCATAAATATGAAGCTTGCCAAAAAAGAACAATCGACCAACCCTAAACGCCAAAAAACAATCGACCAAGCCTAAAAACACACACATACACACAAGCACACCCAAAATGAAGGAGGTTGCAAACAGAACGAAAAACGACACGTGTCCATACGGTGTGGACTCCAGGGCCCCTGCCGGTTAGACTCCAGGCAAACGCGCTGAACCCGCGCCTGGTCCTCTGTCCTGACAAACGGAAAGGGAATGCGTAGGCTGGTTTAGGGTTGCTCTAGGCTACACCCCCCTCAATTGGGTTTGTGGTTGGTTTAAGTTGTGGTGGGTTTGCGGTGGTTGGTTTAGGGTTGGTTTGGAGGGGCCACGCCTTTCTGTCTAGAGTACGTTTGGTGTTGGTTTAGGCCCACGTCCGATCAAGTGAGTTGGCCAGAAAAAGTCAGTCCAAACTGTCGATTGCCACTAAAATGGCAGTCAGAAACGGAGCTCAGGAAGTAGGACAAGTGAGCTGCTCATCCAACTGCTGTGAAGCGGGTTTTGGCCATGAGGGGAGGTTCTAAACAACCTTAGCGGGGTCTTCAAAAGGACGGAATCCCAATATTGCTCGTCCGTACTCCGTCGGACTCACAGGGCAAATCACTACACCCATCTGGCAAAAAGGACGAAGCATTCCTGTTGAACAACCGAGCTACTTTTTTCATGGCCCAGAGGGTCCAAGTACCTTCTAAGGAGGTACTTCGCCCCCAATTTTAGCCCCCAAAAGCCATTTTCATGAGGTACCAAGCAACCCTCTGGGTGGGTGAAAGGCAGACCAAAGGAATCGGTCAGTTGATCCATTCGTCCCGGAAAAGCCGGTCCCGCCCTTTTGGCCCCTTTTGGCTGGATCCATCCAATGCAGCTCGCAAGGTTCTGCTTTGACAAGCCGAGGTCTGCGACCGGCTGTGCGGTCAGAACAAAGAAGGCTTAGGATCTGTCCAAATATACTCCTCGCTTCCTGAAGTTCTTATTTACCTCTCAAATGGTCTTCCCAGAAAGTGACTAAAGTCTAGGAACTCAGGAAGTGGGCCAACCAATGATGATCCATACACTTTTAGTTGTTTTTACTTTTACCACGATGTTCTTAAAGTCCAGGAACTGGTGGAAGTTAAAACAAAACTGCGAGATGTGGTTTGTTCGTTTCGGACCTGGTCGCCTCCAAGCTGAGTAAGTTGCCTGAAATCATCGCCCAACAGGGACCATCATTTACTGCCTGCATATTAAGCCAGAAAGGGAGATCCCCAACAGGAGATTCCTCCAAACTTGTTGGTTATGCTAATTCAATGTTTATCTGCCGCACAAGGGGTAATGTTACCTTATACCGCACCCTCAATGGGGTACGGTGCAACAGTCTGGCGGTGGGGCCTTTAAACCATCCGACATATTGAGCATACCGATCCCAACTCTACCTCCATGAAATCAACTTGAGCTTCTTCTGACTGGCTTGTTCCCCCCAACGCAACATCGGACGCTTGAGTATGATCCATTTCAGCGCCTGAAGGTGCAAAATCATGGTAGTTCCTCGTTTCCTGCTTGAACTGGCCCAAAAAAGCCTGAACTGTGTTTTTTTACCAAAGCTTGCTTCGATCCAGTGGGTTGGCCAAAAAAAGTCACCAAATGTTTGTTCACCACTGAAAATGGCAACCAGACCAACCCGAAAAGTGAGTCCGATCTTCGGAACTCACAAACAAACAGTTTGTTGCAGCCCCCAAACCTAAAAATGAACAGCTCACCAAAAAAGGAAAACTTGACAGTGAAGTGGCGAATCTGTGGTTCCACCCCTGCAGGATATCAAAAGAGTACTAAAAGATGAAACTAAACAGGGACCAAGAGGGGAAGAAACATTGGTGAAATCCACATAAATGCACGAAACAGGCCACATCCGAAGCATTTTCGAGATTTTGGAGGCCGGCAGTTCTCATAGGCGGTCCTTGTGGGAAAAAATGAACCAGAAACCAGGGGTCTCTCAGGTTGTGCGAAATGGATTTCGCAACCATCCACAGTATGGGAAGGCTCGCCCTGTGCGAAGCCAAGAACCAGGCAGTTCCAGCACCACCGCGGTGCCGGCCCCGCACCTCGCGATTTTTCAGGGCAGGGCTGCAGCGCCAAGGAGGGGGGGAGGTCGGCGGAGCGAGTTTGCTGGGAAATGCATTGTTGCTGCTGACCCCTCTGCAAAATGATTAACTTCTTGTGGGTTTAGTGGAAAACCTCTTCATTTCCCAAAAAGTCAAAGTCTATCGATCCAACTCAATAGCAGTCAAGAATGGATGTGTCACTTTTTGAGGCTACCCTCCCACCGACTACCATGGAAGGGCACAGACCCCCGTAGACAGACGACTTTCCTCTTGAAAAGGGTTTTTCGACGTGGAGGGTCGATTTCTCAAGATCCTGATGATTCCTGCTCCCTCGCAACCTCGCAACATCCCCCCTACCGATCGAGGGGGAGGTGGGGGTGGGGGGTCCGGGACCCAATTCCATTTCTCTTCCCTTCTAAATGGAACCACATAAGTTGACGTGAATGCAGCTCCAGGGGTCACCCCCCCTTCCCGCAATTCTACTATTGAGGAGGTGGGGATCCGCAACAAAACAAGCGGGTGGGAGAAAAATGCACTCACAGTCCAAACATGTCATTGTTTTTTGCAGCTGACATCTACCCATCCGCCATGTTACCCAAAGAATCCCTTCCATGCTGGTTGAAAGGGGAGGAGAAGCCTTCTGACAAGCACACCATTGGTGGTTTGGATTGGTTGGCATTCGCCATCGCTTGCCTTCCGATTGTTCAACCGGAAACTGCAAGGGGGGGGTGCCAATCCCTGACCAATCCATGCCCCCCAAAAAAGGTTGCTTGGAGGGAAGCTCACCCAAAAGAACGCACAACGCCGGAGGGAGGTGCACCATGCCCGATAGCACGCCCACAGGTCCCTGGTGCAATCCACCCGCCTGTGCTCCTGCTTCAACTTGCCCACCACGCGACGCCCTCGCCAGAACTCATAGGGCTCCAGCCTCCGAAAAGAGAACAGAAGACACTACTTAAAGGCGCGATCGACTCAGCGCGTCAGGGAAGTGGTTAGGTTAGTACCCTCCTAGAAATGCGTCATGTTCGTGGGAGAAGGGTACTTGAAGGAGCAGGGTACTTAGTAAGTGGTTAGTACCCACGGTTACCCATGGTGAGATAACCCACCAAAGCCATGGATATAAGCCTCCGTTCAGTGGGTTAGAACCATGGTTACCAAGTACACTGCCCCTTTAAGTAGGGTAGCTGGGCTGTCTGTTTTCAGATCCCCAACAGTTGAACTTGTGGGTTCAATGGAAACCCGACCACTCAACCAAATCCAAACACCTTTTTGGAATCGGACGATTTGCGTTTGGAACCCACAAGACAAAGGCTCTTCGTCGAGAGTACCATCGTGTTGGATGACTTTTCAGAGAAACGCTGGCCTTTGGAACCCTCAATGGAAAACTATCCTGGACCTTCCATTGTTACACAAATGTGTGTCACGAAAGAGACTGCTCGGGCCAATGATTTTTGCCCAATGATCCAACAAGCACCCTCTGAGGGTGTTTGTATTACACCCTTGGGAAATTATCCAGCATGGTTCAAACTAACACGGTTTTTACCGTACATGTGCCTTTTCTGGGGTCAATACGCAGTGGGTGTATTCCCAGGGTGTAATACAACACACCCTTAGACACCCAAACAGTTTCCTCCCCGAAGGCCGGGTCATGGAAGCGTAAGGCTTGAGGTACACGCGGTCAGCACCGAATGGACCCCGAAGGGATCGATTCCTCTGTGCTGCCTCTGACACGTGCGTCACAATCAAAACCCGGTATTAAAATGGTCTACCCAGAGCCAAGTAAAGACATAAGAAGGCGGACATCCGAAGCTATTTATGCTTGGGATTGTCCCTTACTAACCTTCATCTACCCGAATCGGTTTTGATTCTGGCTCACGTGGTACAATGGCAGAAAAAGGGTCCTTCTGGGGGTTGAGGAGTCTCGGTCCTCAGGACAAGCAAATACCGGCCAGCACAGTGCTCGCAGCAGACCTAGTGCGCATCTGGGCTTTTGAAGGCAAACGCCAGAACGTGTTCTCTTCAGATCACGGGAAAATGCGCAGAAAACGTGGCGCACAGCCAGCCCTGACAACTGCTTTTTACCATCTCCAGAATCCCCTTGGTACTGTCCAACAAAGCAGTGCTTGGGGGTGCTGGAAGGTGATGAAGCAGCTAGCCAGCCCTGCCCGATACGACTTTAATTTGTTTCTTGATATCTGCGTGTCCGATATCCTCGAGATGGCTTCCTTGATCAACGTAAAATATATAAGGTCAAGCGATAGCCTACTGCCGCACTCAGCCACATGCTTGGCCATTCTCCCCGTGATTTGCTTCCGAACTGGTATTGACATTATGTAATTGTTGGAGCCTCAGGGCTTCAATGCAGGTAGCCAACATAGATATTCCCTATATACTTACTATAGGGAATGCAAGATGCCATTCCAAGAACAGCTTTCAACAACTCCACCACGCAATCCTCTGTCTGTTTTCTAGCCCATAGAAGCTTTAACATATAAGACACATGTCGGTTCAAATATTCCAGAAGAGTGAGGGTAATGCTGACCCTGGATTAATAATCGTACCCCTGCGATAGTCATGAATCCCCACCAAACCCAACCCCCCCCCCCCCAATAAAATAGACTGGGGTTTATATAAACCCGGGGTTTCCATGCGTTGGAAAGACCCAACGCCAATTTCTGCCGGTTTTGGCGCTGCGCGTTTCATGGGACGTGGACGTCACCATCGTCATGTCGCAGCGACCGAAACTGGGCCGCAAGACAAGGCATCTGGCAGCTTTCCACGGAGAAGTCGACGTGGCACCAAGGTGGACTCACCACTCAGGTCCTGCGGTCTGGCTGAAATGCACCGTTCACTTGGGAAACCCGTCCCAACACCCCCCTCCCACACAACCAAAAGACTTGTTTGTGCCTTTATATAATGTTTCTTGTCGGGAATTCCCCCCCAATAAAACAACAAGTGCTTGGATGTGTGTGGAAATCCAACTTGCGGAGAAACTCCGGGGATATTCGTCTAATTGAAGCTTGGGACGCTTCGCACAAACCATTCCGCTCTGGCTCTCGAAAGTATCCGTTGGACCAATGTGAGGGCCTGAAAAGGCGTGCGCCCTTCGCTCGACAACCCAACGCTTTTCGGCAAAAGAACCGGAAAGGGTTTGGCTTTTGACCACCTGAGTTCAAAACTATGAAACCTGGTCAGCTACTTGTATGGTGTGTGGAATGTGGTGAAGTGAGGAAAGTGTAGGGAAGTGTGTGTGTGTGTACGCGCTTTTGTGTGAGTGTATGCGCTTTTGTGTGGCTGTGTGTGTGGCTGTGTGGGTTTGTGTTTGGTGGAGCTGGCTGCCATCTTTTTGCCTCTCCTCGTGCACAATCTCCAAACTCCGCGGGGGCCTGCGGGTTTGGACAAAAACAAGCACACCCAGAGGGTCCCTTGGTACCTTCTAAGGAGGTACTAAGCCAACCAAACACCCGCAACAACAACCAGGAAAAAAAACACAAGCGGTGGGCGAACAAAATCAGTCAAACAAATCACACTCCCAGCCCAAATCCAGCGGGTCCCTTGGTACCTTCTAAGGAGGTACTGAACGACCCCTTTCTGCCACCCAAAAGCCATCCGCAGGTACCAAGGGACCCTCTGGGACAGTTGGCAGGTTGGGATTGGAGGGTCACAACACTCAAAAAGGATGGGTGTCTGGTTTTGAGGGTACCCTCGTTGGTTGGGTTTCCCTATTTTGAGACAAACCCAGATGCCTCTGGATTTACTCAGCTGCCTTCCGGGAAAGCGCGAAAAGCAACGGCTCTGCGTGCCAAAGCCCTTCCGAATCGTGGGCGCCATCAAGATGAAAGAAGCTAAAGGTGTTCTTTCTGGTTTCCTTTCAATCCAACTGAGAAAGGGCATGCCTTTGTATACCTTTTATTTACATTTGATACGGGTCAAATGAGATGTTTGGGGGTCCAGGATGAAAACAAACTGGACCCCCAAACTGGAAAGAAGAGAGGCTGGCACCTGCACAACGCCTTGGCCGCTGGCCACTAGCCGAGTCAATGAGATGAGCTCCTTGTGTTGTGAATGCTGAAACGGCGCCGCGAAAAAAAGAGGAACAAAACAATCAATGGGCGAGCTGATAGTAACGCCTTTTTTGTCCTAGGTCCTAGGGCTTCACATTGCCTGTGATTCGCGTCGGATGCAACTCGAAGCTTCAGAATCTTTCGCTCAGAGCCAAGCTCTTCTTCCATTTGTTCTTGCGCCCCCAAGAAAAATGAGAACATATTTCCAGTAGTGAAATCGATTCCTTTTAAAATAACAAGGGTCACTAGAAAATACTCTTAAGCAAATGAAAGTCTCGTCTTGACCTCGGACCCTTGACCTTCAACATGCGCAGATTCTCTTCGTAGATCACTTGTTTCCTCTTTGGCCGGCAGGGGACGCGCGTCCGGACTGGACATTTTGGAAACTTTGTGTCCCAGGCAATGTCGGTTTTGTCATGTCTTGTCCTCGGGTCGAGACTTGTTTGTTGTGGGCAGGCACTACTGTACATTCGAAAGCATCCTGTCAAAGATTTGATGCTTGCGGGCTTCGGACTGAGATTTGCAACATAAGTCGTGTAACTTGAAATCTAAAGAACCCCCATTTTGAGGGGAACCGCCCCAAAAAGGGCGGGACCCCTTTGTGGGTTCCAGGACAAGCACTCTTGTTTGCCAACGCGTCCTGCTTCCCACCCGAAGATTGCAATGTGCAAAGGAAAGCCCCGGATCCTAGACATCAAACTGCAATTGAACCTTCCCAAACAGGAAATGCGCGGATGGGGCCCTGGGTTGATGAGAAAGCCGGGAGAAATCGCGCACGTCTGGCAGTCTGGCCTAGGGCTGAGCAGCTCTGGTGACAGCTCCTCACGAACGTTCCGTCTGGGCAAACCCCTACTTAAAGGGGCGATCGGGTACTTAACATGGCTAGTAACCATGGCTATAACCCACTGAATGGAGACTTATAACCATGGCTTTGGTGGGTTATAACCATGCCATGGTTACTAACCACTTACCTCAGCCGCTTTAAGTATTGGTCTTCCAAGTGCCCGCAAGTACGGGGCCCTTCTTGAGTTTCTTGGCTTTGCTCAAGGGAAACTGCCAGGCAACTGCTTTTTTAGGGTGGAAGATCAGGGAATTTGCTGGTTTGGTTTGCTGGTTGGATTTGGCCCATGTTGGGGTTTGGTTTGATAATTTAGACCTTGGGGCCCTTCCCAAATTTGGCTCCAAAGGACTTGGGGTTTAAATCCACGCAACCACCACTTAGAGGGCAGCTGAAGATACTGGAAAGAACACGGGAAAGCGCTTCTGTGGGTTCCTTCGGACACAGCCGGGCTTAGCATGGCTAAGGCCGCATTCTTGACCAACTGCAAACGCTCTTGCCGTCTTCGACTTCGGAATAGGAAGGGGAGGATCCAAATTAAACTAACGGGGTGCTTTTCCAGGCATAACATTTGGCAAGATGCCAAGGTGTGTAAATGATTTTTAGCAAACGGGGATTTATCAGAAGGGTCTTGACATGGGATGACATTGCAAAACCACAAACACCATAATACTTCCCACTAAATGGGGAAAAGTTACCCATGGTCCGAACGGAATATTGATCAACCCCTAAATTGCATCATGGTCATGTACCCCCAATACATATCCCCCACCTGTGGCCCATATTCCTTGCTAACCTTACGGAAGCCTGTCTGGCCCAAACGAAAGCAGTGCGAACTGACCGCCCCACAGCGGAAGACGTGTCAACGAAAAATGTTGGGACTCACGACAAGGTGGCTTTCCTCTTGGTTTGGGCGAGCCAAAACCCAAGGTAAGCTGAGTGGATGGCCCCAAAAAAGTCCAAACTTTTTCTGTGCCACTGTGTATGTAAGCTAACCAAACGGCACCACACAAGCAAGCGATAACTCTTTTATCCAAGCAATGTGTTGGTGCCAGGGACTCATCTTCCCCTGTCAGTTGTCTACGGCTGGGTGGGCCCCATGGGCCACCCACCACAAACTCTCAAAAACTGAAGAACGGGTGTGCAGACTGATAGCGCCCGCCCCTGGGCCGGGGCCAGGGGCACCCAGGCCACAGGGGGGTCTGCCACCAGGGGAAGTGAGTCACCCACCGGCTCCGGTCACGGGAGCATGGGTGGGCCCACGCTAAGATCAAATGCATCTCCATTCAGGAGACGCGGGAGAAAAATGAACTCCTCGCAGAGTTCCTGTTTAGGGACTCTGTGCAAAGGGTCGAACCCAGAGAAATCTGGGTGCGTCAGCTCATCGGCCCACTGGTTGAATTCCCGGGGCACGTGGTTGGCCGCCAGCGAGCAGCCATGGGTGTGGAGCAGGAAGACCAGCTCCATCAGGATAGCCGCGGTGTAGGGCTTCTTGGATCCAAGGTTGAGCATCGCCATGACGTTGCCCTGATTGTCACTGCCCACCGGGAGTCGGACCCGGGAGGACAGAGGGCCTTGGTGCGTGAGGATCATGTTACAGAGGAAGAGCGTGCCCAGCATTTCCAGAGCCGCAATCCTCCGCTTGGGATCCCCATTCTTGAATGCCCAAGGGTACTCCTCCACGTGGATCTGCTCGTGGAACCAGTACACCTCCTTCTTTTCCGGCTCCATTTTGTTGGCGCACCAACCTCCCACAAATGCCAGTCCTTCATCCGAGGCGCTAGCATCGCTGCAACCCCACCAAGAGGACTTCGGCAAGTAAGGGGAGTACTGGACGAAGGGCGTGTTGAAGAGGAACCGCAGCATGAACGCCAGCATCCTGACCACCTTAGGGGGTTTCCCCACCGTGGTGGTGGCCATTTTCCAGGCCCACAGCGGCTGAAGCATCGACTTCGCCAGCGGACATGCAGCAGTTGCCCATTGGATGCGGCCCAGGGCCTTCTCGATGTCCTTGGAGTGCATCGCCTGCCCTTCCACCATGATCTGCAAGACCTCCATCACCAGGATGTGTTTGTTGGCGGCCATGAGAACCTGCGGGATGTTCGGGTGGACCCACGTGTTGACCTCCGCCAAATGTGTCTTCTTCCAGCTAAGCGGGGTGCCCAAGGCCAGGAGTGTTGCCAACAGCGCCACCGCCAAGTTTACTGCCCCTTCGCTGCGACATCCACAAAGACGAAGTTCCAGTCCACTTGAGGGAAAAGTGCGTAGAGGACCCTGAGTAGAAGGGCTGCCAGGCGTCCCCAGTAGGATTGGGCACTGGCCATGCCGTAAGTGCCTACCTTGTTCACCCACCATTCTTCCCCCAGTGAGGCCACCTGGAACCGCCAGTCCTTCCTGAGGACCTTCACTCTCCGGTGGGCCTTGGTGACGTCTGCCTTGAGCAGCACCCACCTGGTGCCCGGCTCCGGCCATTGCCAGCCCTCGGGTGGAGGTTTGGCGACCCCCTTCTCGGGGCCGGGGGCACCCTGAGAGGGGGGTCCCTCCTCAGCTGCCGCATGTAGCCAATGAAGAGCTTGTACCCCATCCAGCACCGTCGGAGCCGTCGTCCTTTCCACCGTCTGGTTTGATGGTGTCATTGGCCCCGCCCACCGAGCCATCGTAGATGGTGCGGATCTTGTCCCCTTCGTCAATGCCCGCTAGGGGGCCTGGGCAAAGATCCTCCACATTGCAGCCACAGCGCTCTGCTGCCTCTACCTTGCCCGGCGAGGCTAGGGGTGGGCCGCTGGTCGGCCTGCCCTCCCTGATATCTTCCAGCAGGTCCTCCGGGAAGGGGTGTGACCCGTCCCCCAAAGAGAGCGACTCCTGGAGTTTGTCCCCCCATGGCGACGTGAGGACACAGATCTTGGCCCCCATCGCTGCTGCTTTGGACAGTGGCCGAGTCCACGGGGCCAGCCGTCCAAGTGAGGGCTTCCCACCCCCGTCCCTGAGGGGGCGCTGTTTGAAGGCCATCTGGAGGTACATCACCTTGTCGGAGAGATTTGGGTCGTGCGTGATCGGCCGGGTGGTGGGCCGATCCGAGATCTCCATGCAATGGCGTGCCCATGGCTGAAGGGGAAGAGTTTCACCCCGTAGCCTCCCTGCCCGCCGGCTGTGTTGGTGTCCGGACCTCAGGAATGTCCGAGGCCGAGACCGGACGTGAGCCCAAGGTTAGTCCCGCCAGCGCTTGTTGGCCGGCCTTCAGCCTCAGGGACTGGCGCTTGTTGTCCCCCGGCGTGCGGGGAGATGGTTCCCTCTGCCGCCTCGGAGGGTCGTTGGGTTCACTTGGGGCACCGTGCCCCCCGGCCTCAGCGCCTCCAGGACGGGTCCCGCTCTGCAAAGGATGGCCGCTGCGAGGCCCTGCATCATCTGCTCTGGGTACCGGCTGAGGTCACTGGAGTTGAGCTTTTCCCCCCCTGCGGTGAGCTCCGTGATTGCATCGCAGATCATGCCAATGGTGAAGGGGGAGGTCCGTTGACAATGTCGTGGACTTCACTACCACCTGGCCCAGGCGGCACTCGTCGAACTTGATGAGGGAGTGGTGGAGTGCGTTCGCCCATTGAATGTAGGCCCGTGTGACCCAGATCGATGAGCACCTCGCTGCGCTCGGGCTCTTGCTGCACTCCATTGGGTCCATCGGGTGCTCCAGGAAGGAGGTAGGCCAGCGAGGTCAGGTACATCTGTCGGAGCATGAGCACGCTGTCGTTGTCCGTGTCCTCCCTTACCCGGGGCTCCAGGTCCTCCAAGCCCCACAGGGTCTGCTCCGCCCTGCCCCTCACCGGCGGCGGGCCTCCCGGTTTGGGGAACCATCTGAGAATGCTCCACGTTCTGCAGTTGGGGCCGCCCCCCACCTTCCCCGCCATAGCCATGGAGCACATTGTCGAGTAAGGCTCGTCTCCCAGCCTGTCCAAGATCGCCACCCTTTCGCCTAATGTCCACTGCCCAAATGTACTCCGAGAAGGCCGGGTTGTAGGCATGGAGGTAGGCATCCAGGGCCCCCGCGTCGTCCTTCCCAGCGTACAGCAGGATGAGGGTCGGCTTCAACGACTCCGGCACCGGTCGTGGCGTCCACCTTAGTCTGGACCTCAGTCTTTCCGGGGTGTCTTGCATTCAGGGGAAGGTGGGGCTTGTTTTTTTGCCTGGGGTTTCCGTGTGTCCTTTGTCCGACCCACTGGTCGTCTGGCCCTGGGCTTGCTGCTTGCCCTGACGGTTCTGCCCGCCCTTGGAACGCCCCTTGCCGGGCGGATCTTTTTGTCTGGGTCTCTCTGGGGGTTCATCCCACTGCCTCGGTGGGTGCGGGGGAAACGGGTGCTTCCGCCCTTCTGGAGTGACCTGACTGGGTCCACTCCTTTTCTTCGGTGGAGGGGCTTCCGGGGCCGGTGGCACCCTGGAGAAATCCCCTACCACCTGCGGCCGTCCTGGCCTCCCCAACTCTGTCTGCCCTCTGCTGTGGCTCTGGTGGGATTGGCTCCCCCGCTGTGTGCGCTCTCGCACTGGTGGCCTGTGATCCCTTCGGAGACCAGGCAGCCACGGGGCCCATGGCACCCTGAGTGGCCTCCTGTCACTTGGGGAGGTGTGGGCATGCCTGTGGAACATGCTTCGATGGGGGGGCATCACACACCCATCCCTTCCTGACTGGGCAGTTGTGGGATCGGCGCATGATCCAGGGCATTTGTTGTGAAGGTGATGATCCCTGCAGTACGCCACCCCTTTGGGATTCTTGAACGCCCAGTGGTCTGGCCATGGGGTCGAGGAGGTGTTGGGAGACTTCCCTTTGCCGCCCTTGCCCTTCGGCTTGGAGTGGGTAGGCCCCGAGGACCAAGATCCTTTTCCCCCTTCTTGGGCTTCTCCCACTGAGTCTGCCGCACCTTGGGTGCCTTGCTCTTGCTCTTCCCCTTCGTCGGCGCCCTGTTGAGGTGCTCATAGACCTCCCGTTGCCAGAAGAGG